TTCATCAGCGACTTGGACGAGGGGGTGGAAAACACGTTGTCCAAGTTTGCTGATGACACCAAGATGTGGGGAGAGGTACGCACGCTTGAAGGGAGAGAGAGGCTGCAATTAGACTTAGACAAACTACAGAGGTGGGCGGATGGTAATAGGATGGGCTTCAATGTAGATAAATGCAGGGTGCTGCACCTGGGGAGAAGGAATCCACAGCACACATACAAGCTGGGGAGCTCCCCCCTTGTGAGCACAGAGGCGAAAGGGATCTTGGATTCATTATTGACTCCAAGATGAACATGAGCCAACAATGCCAGACCGCAGCCAGCAAAGCCAACCACACCTTGTCGTGCATCCAAAGATGCATCTCAAGCCGGTCCAGAGAGGTGATACTCCCCCTCTACGCGACATTGGTCCGGCCTCAACTGGAGTACTGCATCCAGTTCTGGGCACCACACTTTAAGAAGGATGTGGCCTGCCTAGAGAGGGTTCAGAGGAGGGCCACCCGCTTGGTGAGAGGGCAGCAGGACAGGCCCTATGAGGAGAGGCTGAGGGACCTGAACCTGTTCAGCCTCAGCAAGCGGAGACGGAGGGGAGATTTGGTGGCTGCCTACAAACTCGTTAGGGGAGATCAGCAGCAAATAGGAAGGGCCCTATTCTCCCCAACAGCACCTGGGGTGATGAGGAACAATGGCCAGAAGCTGCTAGAGAATAGGTTCAGGTTGGAGATTAGGAGGCACTATTTCACTGTCAGGGTAGCTAGGATGTGGAACCAACTTCCTAGGGAAGTGGTCCTCCTTCCTACCTTGGGTAAATTCAAAAAGAGGTTGGATGAACACCTGTCTGTGGTCATGTGATCCCGGCGTGTGCTCCAACCAGTGGCAGGGGGTTAGACTAGATGATCTATTCAGGTCCCTTCTGACCCCTAACTACTATGAAACTAAAAAACTCTCAACCTCTATCCTATTTGTCTCTTGTACTGGAGGCCTATACAGGCCTACACATGGCAGAAAGGGTCCCCTACACAATACAGCCTTATGGGAGCTTTATGCCACACTGACATAGAACAAGTTTAGTGCAATTGGGAATCAGTCCTGGAATGCCTGTCTTACGGTTGCAGAAGTGTGAGAGATCATATAAAATGTCTGCCACCTCCCAGATTTCCAGCAAAGTCATGAAAAAACAGATCCCCATCCCTGATATTTCTAGAGTAAAAAGCTATTAAAAAAAAGTTTTGTGCCCTCTTTTTACAATCACAGAGGAGAGGGAAGACGGGACTACTTTTTTGTTTGTTTGTTTTTTTAACAGATCCTTTGTGGTAGGTCAATCCAAAGGACAATGGGCCCAAAACATGACCATCATTTCTGATAAAACTGAAGCTGGTCTTATCTGTTTGCTCTTTAGCGAGTGTGGCTTCAAGTACTTCATTACTCTTTTCACTAAATGTAAATAGTAGCACCTTGCTACTTACGAGAAATTCTACAACAGCACACAAGTATGTGTGTGGGATAGAAGGAAAAAGAGCCAAAGCAAAAATATATTTCAGGCTTCCAAAAGGTTGCTATAAACAGCATGAAAATAAACATAAATGATGAAGGCATAGTCCTTTTAACTAGTGGTTCAAGAGTTCAAAGTTATTAACATTAAGTGTAAAAAAATAACCGATGGCTATGACAGGCTGTTTCTGGAGTTCCGCCTCCATTGGTCCACATACCTTCGAGTCCCAGTTTTTATTCAGGTAGTATATGCAAGTGATACAGCGCCCATCACCATTTGGGTTGTCCACATGACGAACATATCCGGTTCCATTCCCAGGGTAGCAGGCTACCATAGCCTAAATGAAAAAATAGAAATATCTATCAGCTACATTTTCCAACGCCTTTTATTTTTAAAACTTTGCTGTTAACCTGATTTGAGTCTAGATTTGAAATTTTTCAGACCGTAGAGCCAAGGATTCTAGTCAATTCAAGAGGAATTTTCACACAAGTTTCTTTCCATAAATAATCCTGTATGAAATACTATACATGTAATGCTGTCGATGTTTAAGAGCACACAGACTAAAAGAAGAAAAAATGTTGACTATGGAAAGGCACAAGTGTACTATTAATTTTCAAGCCAGGTAACTTTCAACTGCTGCTTGGTGTTCAAGAGAGAGTTTCGATACATGTTTGCTAGGATCTTTAACGTTACTCTCAGTCATTATAAAACTACAGTTGCAGGTCATAGTGAAAGCAGACAATCTCAAAATACAGAAGTTATGCCTTACCCCATCCTCCAAGTTTCTACTACATTTGTCTCTTGCCTGAACACCTTATTCTATTGAAAATTCAGGTTTGCCAGGAAGCAGGGGAGCCATGAAGCAAAATCCACAGAAACCTGCAAATCTTTCATGCTGTGTTTGCACAAGGCAGTACGTGTTTGATCTCACGGACTGAGCCACAGAAGCAACCAGCATTTTTTTCAAAAGCACACTGCTTTCTTTGATCATCTTCAAACCTGCCAACATGACCATTTATTTCATGATTTCTTTAATTTCATCTTTAATGGCAAGATAGATCAACAGAAAACCAAATATAAATTACTCCAAACCACAAGACGGGAGATAACAAGGGAGAATGCCTGCCAAGCACTTAAAAGAGCTTCTTCACAGCACATGCACATTTAACCTCAGGTCATACCAGTAAAATTCTATCAGTAGACAAGGGGGCTGGATGAGTCAATACATTGTTGATGGGCTACCCAATCTCTCTAAGACACTAGTATGAACCTGCAGAGGGGCACTAGTGATAGTCCATTTGGGCTGTTTCTATTAGTGTTCTCCCTCCCTCTAAATCCCCCGCCCCATCGCTTATAATACTGAAGGTGCACAGATAACACCCTTAATCTAGGTAGAACTAGTAATAATAGCAGTGAAGATGGAGCAGCGTGAACAACAGCCCATGCTAGTGAGCAGTGTAAATACGCAAAATCCCTGGATGCACATCGTCTAGTTACTAGCTGCATTGCCATATCTTCACCACTAACATTAAGCTGCAGAAGTGTGCTAGGCCAAGCTACGAGTACACCATTATATTGTTGTGCAGACATGTCTACTGGAAACAAAAGTTGCTATCAAGCTGTACAACAAATGTTTCCGATTTGTTGTTATTTAGGCCAATGGTCTGTTTCCACAAGGGTGTGCCGTTTATGCAAACAGCTGTGAAATACAGCTGCACAAATACAATTTTATATTTTAAACACTACAATAATTCACTCTCTTTCTTGTTTCCTCTCCTTACATGTAAATCCAGGGAGAATGGCACCTGTTGCTTGTAGCAAGTCATTACGGGAACCATTTTAGAATCTGTTTTCCCTTTCTGACCCCTCTGGCCAACCTACAAAGTAAAGAGTCTTTAGAGGTGGTCAATACCTTACAGTCCCCCACAAGGTAGCAGTCAGAACACATGCACACCTGGGTGTCTTTTGGAAGTTCTGTGCAATTCAACTTCATCAGCTGTGTCAAAAGAGAGCAAAGTATATGCTGGGAAAAGCATCAAATGCTGTTAGTAAAAGTTGCTATCAAGCCACTATCAAAATGGTAAAAGGTGTGAAGCTGCTGAGCCAATAAGGTTTGTGCCACCTCTCAAAGCAGTAGTACTACTCTGCACAGTGATCAACAGTTTCAATACATACAGTTATCAATGAATGAGAAGCACCAACAATATTGAACTTTATTGTGGAGCAACAGGCAACCTCTGCAGTTCCTTGTTCTGTCTAATTTACTAGTTAAACTGACGGACCATCTCCCAAGCCAAGTACAGACATCACACTTTTACCAACTGGTATAAGTAACCGGAAACCAGTCTATACCTATAACAGAACAGAAGTTCGGCACACAAAACTGGTTTAAAAATGGCAGAACCTGGTCTAAGTTTTGCTCCCCCACCAAAAGGGGGAGGAGGGGTGTTTGCTACTGATTAAACTATGCTGCTTACAGAAAAATGTACAACTTAGATTGATTCTGCCTCAGGCTTTTTGAATGTCTGTTACTAGCACCAATTACCAACTTCCTCAGTGTCCTTACTTAGGGAGCATCACTAAATTATTTCTACGCTATACTCTGTTAGCAAAAAAGAAAGGGTAGTGTTGTGACAGAGCAGCTTGAGTCTGGACTTGAGTTCTGGCAGCAACATGATGTAGTGTAGAGCAGGCCCAGACTGGAACAAGATCCTCTGAGATCGCTGTATCTGTAGGATAGACATGTATAGGAGCAAGGTCTACCTTGCTAGGGGAAGGATTAATACCATCTTTTGTACCTTAGAGCCAATAAATTATGGAAATAAGACTCTTTGATTGAAAACAAGGGGTTAAGATAATATTGTGGCTCTGGAAGGCAAAGGAAACCTCTCTCTAGAAGGTACATTAAGGCTCAAAAACTCAAAATATAATTTAGGTACCTGACTAGGATTGAAATCTATAACCATGAGTCAGGATCTTCTCAGGCCCCCTCAAATAATATCTGAAAACAAACATGCTTTTATTTTTAAAAAAGCACCAATACATTTTCATTTTTACACTTGAGAGAGACAGTATCCTGAGAGATAAAAGAGTAGAACAATTACCAGGCACTGATTATGTTACCTATACTGTTAAAGACTAATTTTCCAGTTACAGCAGACTCTGGAGCAAAAAAGCAGAAATTAAATATCCTTTTTCCTGGCACTGGTAATATTTGAATGAAACCTTAAACAATGAAGGGAAATCATTGAGGTCGTCCTAGAGCCTGTTGAAATTATATCAAGTTTTATCAGAGTGCTGGCTGGAGCAGCTCCAGGGTAGATCAAGCTGGCCTCAGCAGGGCTTCCAGCTGTTAGCACTACTTTGGGATTCATTCAAAAGCAAACAAGAAACAGGAGATGAGCTGAGTGACCCAGACTTAATTTAGGTAATTGGTGAACATTGGTATTTGCCAGTTTTGCACTTGGGCTTGCTGCAAAAGCTGGAGACTGGATAACATTAACAAAATTGCTATCTTTTAGCTAGGTGAGCAGACAGCATGTCAATCAGTTTTGCTACTTCTGCATTTTGAATGTTCTGTCAAAGACAATACACTCCTACAGCATAACCGCTCTCCCCACTGGCCAATTTGGCTATAAAAAGAACTAAAAAACCAAATCTGGCAATGGGAAGTAGGACTGTGCCTTATTGTTTTATAGAAACAAAATCAGCAGCAACCACTGTGAGTTGGCTCAGCTTCCCACTGCAAATGCACAGAGCACATCTCAGCTGATGTCCTCATTTTATTACAAGTAGGTTAACAGGTGAATCTTTTTTTACTAGCTTTAACTTGGTGGAGGCAAAAAAAAAATACTATAGTCCAATACTGAAAATTAAAAACATTCACACACACGCACCAATTTTCACATAAACTATTTAGCTTAAAGGCAGTCCAGCTGACAACCATAAATTAAAGACCTAAAAATCCTGTTTATAATTAACTATTAGAGTTATCTGGCGTGACTGGTTTCCTTTCTGTCCAAGGTTTCTACTTAACAGCACTGCAAAACTTGGAAAACGTGAAGGAACTAATGAACGCTTTCATTTTTGCATTGTCACTCTGAGACCTTAGGTTCCCAAGAGGGCGTAAACCAGCCACCAGTTAAATAAGTAGTTATTACTACCCACAGCAAAGAACCAGGAATTGTCAATGAACTGTGTTGTGTAAGAGATTTGCAAAAAAAGTTCTATTGTTATTACATTTAAAATATGTTATATTTTACTTTACAAGGGGAAGAATTCTGCAAACCTTTAAGATTTGTAAGAAAATGCAAATTAAGTCTGGCAAGTTTAAAAATAAACATTTAAAATATTTTATTTAAATATAAAATATTCAAATAGATCATTTAAATAAATAATTTTAAATTATTTAAAAATAAATAGCTAGAGACAACACCCACCCCGCCTTTAATATTTCCACTGTGAGAAAACCAAACAAACGTTCTCTGTGGTTTCCTGTGGGCTACTCCATCTTACATTGTGAGATTATCAGATCTTCCAGTCTAGACGGAGAGAGATGGGCCTGTACTGGAGGAAGGACTATCAAGAAATACCTTGTTGATGCTAAAGGCAGAGGTGACAAGGGGCAGAAGGTGATACTTTCTCTTCTTATTAGTGTTGAACCAGTGGCCTGGTGTGGTGTTTGTAAGGAAGGTAAAGATGACAACGTTTATGATGAGATGCAATACTAGCAAATCACTAGCTATTTTTCCCCCACTACAGGTCCCAAACTTCTCTCAGAACTGCGGTGTTACTTTCAGTGGTTAGGCAAAATTCTGAGTTGGATAATTATATTCTGTCAGCCTAAATACCCCTGCGGTATAACCTGGATACAGGATTCTTTTTCATTTCCTGCACCAGCCCGTTGAGTAGTGTTGCTGTATATTGCTAAACAGCTGCTATTTTTGATCCCAGGAGACAGTGAAGTTGTGCCTGTATATCAGCTAGTTAAATTTTGAAAGCACTTTGAGATCGTCAGACAAAAAGGTGCTACAAAAATACAAAGCAATACTGACATGTGACAGTTCTATGATCACCGTCTCCTCTTCTTTATGTCATGAAACAAAGTCAAGATATTAATCAGAATTAATGGTGTTACTTCCCCTGCCCCTATAGCTTTAGGGCATATTTTTACACAACTTCAACTAAATTGGACTCTAATAATATGTGACTTACTATCGTGCACAAAAGGTCAGAAAACCCCCCACACAATTGGAATTTGGGGAATAAGGACCTCTGGGATTCACTTCACTGACTCGGGTATGAGCACACATTGTACTCAACTTGATTTTAGCTTGTAGACTGCAAATATTCAGTGTATCTAGGAAAAAAAGGCACACAGCATGTTCTACATTAAAAGAACATGAGAAATCTGACATCTAATGATCAAAGCACAGAGATTCTCAGGCAAGGCTCATCTGACAAAAAGGAACAACATGGTGTTTCTTAAGTACTTTCTTGTTGCACCCAATTGTGTCCAAGTGTTTTCTACCATATAACTTAGAACAGCTGGGTATAAAATATTCATGGCTGGGATTAAACACTAGTTTGTCTAAATTTATGAAAATCAAGCCAAAATGCTTAACTGCCACAGAGACATAATCTAGCCAAACTGGTCTAGTTTAATAGTCTGTATGAAAGAACAAATGGGAAAGAATAGAAGATATTTCTCCATTTTATTTTTAACATGGCCATCGGAAATATAAATCACAAGCTCCTGTAGGTTAAATCCTGCTTACCTTACTCACCCTCCCAGTCTCCCTTGACATAAGTGGTAACGTAGCATAAGAAAAGTAGAATTTAGTTTCTTTAACCATATTCCCTTGCCTCCCACACGAGCACCTACTAGCTAAAAGGGAAGTTTGGGGAGGATTTGCAAAAAGCCTCAGTTCTATTGTTTAACCAGCTGGTGGAAATCGTACAAGGGGATGGAGAAGGAGTTTTAATGCAAAGCTACTTTCAGAATCTAGTAGGCTGCACAGCTCTCTCAAGACTCCCACTTCCCGAAAACTTTCCCTCTGACCAAAATGGAGGCTACCTGGAAAAAATCCTTAAGGCATCTGTGTGTTAGTGAAATAGGGCAAAAAAAAAAATCTCTTGTTCCTGTCTACTAAGGTCTAGAAGATGAAACTGCTCTAACAGAGTTCATAAAGGGGCTACTGGCCCAGGCTGCCATTTCCTAAGGAGCTCCTGAATGCCCCCTCTAGATAGCATCCCCCAATAATAGATCAGACTCTTTCACAGTGGACCCCAAATGAGGGCAACTGTCTTAAGAGTTTGTCCCATCTCAAAACAAACAAACAAATCACTGCAGCTGCTGTGCTCAGAATCCACATAAGTCTCTGTTGAAGGTCTGGATAAGTAAGGGTGCCTTGATAAATGAGACTGGGAAAGAACAGCAGGAACCAGTGTTGACAGATGGTAAATCTGTAAAACTCCAAAGAGATACAGGCCGAGGCCAGACTGGTACGATCACTCTTATCTCTGTTTGGTCCTGTCATATTTTACTAACCATTCTGATAATCTGAAGAAAAAGAGGGCAAGATATAGGTGAGACACCCACCCAGAGAAATGACAACGCATTTGTTTTCTAGCCTTGGGGTTGCCAGTGTCAGGATCAGAATTTTATTATATTGCTCTTTCTGTTGCGTAGGAACCACGTCACTTAGCTGTGCAAAGAGCTGTTGAGTTAGTTCCCATTCCTGTTTCCCCCAGCTAGTGGCTTCCTGCCTGAAAGTTCTCTCTTGAATATATATGATTTTGCCCAACTAATCCAGATATTCCAGGAACAGGAAAAAAAAACACCTCTTGCCTTTCTGTTTAAACCTGTGCTTTTTGT